TGAAGGTAGGAGCTCTGGTGGTGCAGTGCCTAACGCATTTGACTGCTAACCAGAAGGCTGGCGGTTCAAACCCATCAGCCACTCCTTGGAAGGAAGGTTGGGCAATCTACTTCCGTAGTGATACTGCCTCAGAAACCCAAGGAGGGGTCTCTATGGGTCAAGTCAAATCAATGGCAGTGACTTGGGTTTGGGCTTTGCTTCTGTGAAGGTAGGAGCTCTGGTGGCGTAGTGCCTAAGGCACTTGACTGTTAACCAGAAGGCATTTGCTAACCAGAAGATTGAACGGCACACAACAACATGTATTATTGGGACTATTCACTTCTTTTCTCTTTTTGCCATTTGGGTGAAAGTTTGCAGAGCAAATTGGGTTTCCATTCAACTCATACTCATTTTGTCTCATGACTTTGTCATCCCTACAGTGTAACAGCTCTCTTCCCACTTCCTGTCTGGTTCCCATTTCCCGTCCTCCTTTCCTATCCCTTCCCGCCTTCTGAGGTTTATCCCTGGGCAGGCGCTGCCATTGTGATCCATAGGGTTGATTTTTCTAAGAAGTGTGTATGTGTCTCCCTGGTGCCATTGTTCTCCTTATAGCTAAAAGTTGTGCCACAGGGGTGAGTTCATTTCTGGGCTTGAGGGGTGTTTTATTTTTGATGATCGGAAGGGTCATCGAATGGTGTTGTCCACCTTTGGGTAACAATGGTATGGCCAAGCTTAACGGATACAGCTGAGACCAATGGGAGCGTCCATTCTCGAAGGTGGTGGAGGTTATTGGACAGTTGTTTTTACTCCCAGAGAGAGAGCCAATTAGATTAGGCTGCTTGGTTCCATAGATGGGTCAGAAGGTAAGACTGTTGAAGGGAGGCATTCATTCCTTCTTGTTGGGGCAAGGGGATAGGGAGAGCTCTGTGTAGAAAAGAGTTTGAGTGTTTTGTAATAACCCATCCCTCCAGGCAAGGTTGGAGAACTGGAGCGTTTATTTAGGGAAGGTACTCAAATTGTTGTTGTTATGTGCCAGCCAGTCGGACCCGACTCATACCGACCCCTCCTTGGGTTGCTTAGGCAGTATCACTACGGAAGTAGATTGCCCAACCTGCCTTCCAAGGAGTGGCTGGTGGGTTTGAACCACCAGCCTTCTGGTAAGCAGTCAAGTGCCTTACGCACTATGCTACCACAGATCCTGGTACTCAAATTGGAAGGATCCATTTCACCAAGTGAGAGTATACGAAAGCCTATGGTGGGAAAAGGGGAAAACATTGGAAACATCCATTTATTGGGGTGGGGTTCATGAGAAATTCCTTTGTAAGGGGTCTTCATCACATGTGTCCATTCCTTGGGAGCAGGAGTAATAGGTGAGTCTATTATAGAAGGAATTTCTTTGGACCTGTCCTCGGAAGGAAGGTTGGGCATCCCTAGTAGAAAGTGGTTACGTTTGAAGAGTCCATCAAGGTGAGGAGACTGGAGAGTCCATTTAGGAAAGATATTTCAGAAGCATCCATGCTTTGAGGGGGAAAATGGTAGACTCCATGCCACAAGTGATGTATCCGTATAAGAATCTAGTCTTTGCAATGAGTTTTAAGGGACAATCCACCATGTAAGTGGGTGCCTTCAAAGAGTCCTCTCATGGAAGGTGGGGGGTGATCGGAGAATCCATTGGGAATGCAGGGATCTCCTGGGAAGAGTCCGTTCCTCGCAGAGGGGTGTCCTAAGTGCATCTTCGTTCTCCCTCCAGGACTTCGTGGTGTACGTGATGACGCGGGAGCAGCACGTGTTTGGCCGGGGTGGGAACTCGTCGGCCCGAGGCGGGTCCCCAGCGCCCTATGTGGACACCTTCCTCACCGCCCCGGACATCCTCCCGCGCCACTGCACCGTGCGCGCGGGCCCTGAGCCACCGGCCACGGTGCGCCCGTTCCGGGGCGCCCCGGTTACGCACAACGGGTGCCTCTTGCTGCGGGAGGCCGAGCTGCACCCGGGCGACCTGCTAGGGCTGGGCGAGCACTTCCTGTTCATGTACAAGGACCCCCGC